ATAGGGCAAAATATAACATTGCAATTAGGTCATTTGTATGAGTCATTAGGTTTGTTTTGGGAGAAAATTAATTTCTTAAATCTAAATTATGATTTCTAAAGATCCCCCATACGTTATAATTTTAACAAAATGTCTTCAAGCAGTGTTACTTTTCATAAATCACTACTTCAGAAACTGAGATAATCAATGAATTGGATAATCATCCAATGCATTGAGAATCACGTTCTTTAACTTTCTGAACTGCTGAAGATTCAATTGGGTATTCCGATCCTGCGAGATGACTCAAATGAAAACTTCGGAATTATGATCTTGTTAAAAATCCACAATTTTGTTTCTACTAAAGCAGAATGATGCATATTAGGTGGAACCTCGATGTCGGAGCGACTCGAGAATGGAGATGTTTGCACACTAGAAGTGATGGCATCAATCCAATTGAAGGAGTAGCTGGTCACACACCATATGACGCCCAGACATCATAGTGAACTTCCGTTATAACCCTGTCTACACAATGTCTATGGCAAAGACAGCAAAGTAGAAGTCCTTACCAGTGCGATGAGAGAAAATGTTGCCCTTTTTGGCCGAAGGTAGCAGTCAATGTCCAGGAAACTTCCTCTGTTCAGTGTTTGTCGAACTTCGCACAGCTTGGCCTCCATGTCTTCAAGTGGGGATTTGAATCGAAGTTCTGCCTCAAGTGCCAGCTACAAATATAAAAGGACATGCATGACTCTCAACAAATTTGTAAAGGTTGATTCTACTAAAGTACCATCATAACATGATACTGTAAGCCACCTATTTTTTGCAAGCTCAATATTTTGCCTTAGCAAGATGGAAGGATCTCAGTGTAGCTTTCGAGGTGGACACATTCTTTCTGCCTGAAAAAATAATGTCTAGAGGGCCATCTACTTTGTACATTATTGATGTTAGGGACATAAATAAACATAGGCTGAGCTTTACTACTAATTGATATGAAATCCACAGAATATAAGCTGGATGAATTTGTTCAGAACCAATTTTACCACATCAGGGCTTAAGAAGTAGACCGGTAGTTCATCACTTGGGCTTGCTTTACGAGCTTCAAGCGTAGCTTTCAAGAGGGCCTTCATTCTCGTAATGTCGAGACTTGCAGGATCAGTGACTGTGTCCTCAATCGCCTAGGCAAAAATATAAACCATATAGAAATTAATTACAGTGCACCCGGCTACAACACAGCATTCATGCACAGCATACAGTAATTTATGCTGCTAACACTCTTGGCAAATGTAACATGCACAAGACGGATGATAGCTGCAATGACTAGTATTTATCACATGAATTGCTACAAAAAAAATGCACACCATTTCTAAAAAAAAAAAATCGAAATTTCATCAATGAACACGACCACGTGGCATGTTCAAAGTAAAGACTGGAGGCGTGGGGGAAAAGTGAGTCAGTGACAAAAGTGTGCAAGGCCAAGAAGACAGTGCCCCACTTGAGCAAATTGCCCTTGGACTTCCTTTTTTAGTCTTTGTTACGTGGTGAAACCAGATGGCGCGTTTTTGCATGTAGTCATATAATTTTTTTCCCTTTCACCCACCATTGATCAATTAGGGCCAATGGTAGTTTCTGATGTTTGAAACGAGCATGTGCCACCACTTTTTTTCTCCTGTTTTTGCGTGTCTAAGTTAGGCTCTCGTTCCAAAGAGATTGCACCGCGGAAATACACACACGTACATACACTTAAGACTGCTTACTTGTGTTAAATGCAAAAGCATTATATGGTTTTTATCACGCAATTAATTTGTCCATGTCTAGTGGTAAATCTCTAAAGCCTCCAGTCAGTCACATGGCGGCGACAAGACGTGTGCAATGACACACGCACTAGGCACACCTTTAATCCTCCAGAATCATTGCGCCGTCATGGCACTGGGGAACCATTCTCGCTTGGCAACCCGGGGGCCCGGGTTCGATTCCCACCGCGTCCAACATTTATTTTTAAAGTACTTAATTTGCTTTGTTTACGGGACCTTCTCCAAGAAATCTGATGTCATTCCAAACATTTGTGACGTGTTTTTGCTCTACGTGCGCCGTCAGCATTTTTAGTACCATCACTCCGTCACAACAACTACGACGGAATTTTGTAAAATGGGGCATTTAATGCTTTCGCATTAATTAGAAAAAAAAATTGAGGACAGGTCGCCAAAACAGGTTGGACATGCTGCACAACCTATTTTGCAGAAAACATCTGAAATACAGGCATCCTTACCTTCAATTCTTCTTGTGCTTCATTGCATCGAAGGATGCCATCACAGGCGTCGGTAGAGAGCACGGTTGTTGACACAACGAGTCTTTTGGACCGCAGTTTTCTGGTTTTTCTTGTTGAACTCACGGATCGCATGAATGATCTCTGCAAGAATGCATATAGCATAAATCAACGATTTTGTGAATGACATATTTGATTCGTACCCAATATGACTACTTGGCAACTTTGAGCACTTCCAACGATTTTCTAAGTTTAAGGATGAAGCAGAACATATTTTATTAGGTAAACAAAGCAATGCAAAGAACAAACCAAAGACAAGATTAATGTCAGATAACCCTGCGTGAATGCAGGACAACAGTTTTGTTTCCACATTGTTATTTAGTCCCGGGCCAGAGCAGTGCACTTTCAAGAAAAGTTTCTAAACTACATGGTTCAAACAAGTGTGTTTCAAAAACCATTCCACCCCAAAAATAATTTTTTACCTCAATATTTATGCCATCAGGCACATTTTAAGTTTGTTTTCGCATGCTTTCTTAAAGTTGACTATATTTCTTTGGCTCGGTCCTCAAAATAAAGTCAATCTGGAAAAAGGAAGCGGAACTGGGTGAAAACGTCAAACTTGGATAAAGTGCCCCGCATGGCGTAAATATTGTACTAATTTCTTTTTTTTTTTGGGGGGGGGGGGGGGGCAGGAATGATTTTTGAGGCACTTGTTGGATCCATGTAGATTAGAACAAGATGCTCCTTGGGAGTGCAGTGGCCCTTTAAGAGGCTGTACCAGTATCGTTTATGATGAGTCCCACTTTTCGGGGCCATTTCACTTTGCCCGCTGGAGACAAGCTAGGCTCGTGAACCGATTTCAGGTTAGAGGAGACCACAATTCCAGAAAACGTTTTCTTTCTTTTCGACACCTGGAGTGTGTTTGCACGGTAACAGGTACTAAAAAAGACCCCGGCATTCCTTTAAAGTCAAACATAAAACGGAGTGAGGGAGCCGTGTCTTCTTCCTCTTGTCTTGGTCCTTGTACTCTTTTGGCACTTTTTCTCGAGCTATGAACCACCTGGCCCAAATAGCCATGTTACTTCAAGAACGCATACATTGCCTTGCAGTTTTACAACAGCACGGTGACTGGTACTATTTGGATGCTTTTATTTAAATATTTTGTATTTCAAATATTGTTAAGCTACAATACATCAATGTATTGAGGGGAAGCTGCCCCTCAGGTTGACTTTTGCGTTTCAACCTTTGACTTCACATCAAGAAAAAATAATCCTTGAAATGATATTACAAAGGATTTATACAGTGGTACTATGATGTTTTAAAGTAGTTTGCGATTCAAACAAAATGGACTGTTTAGACCCTACTCACCCAACCGAACTCAAAATCAAGTTTCTTTACTTGACCGTGCTTTGTCGTCTCCCACACCACGCTAGGAAACGACCGAGCTAATGCTTCGCCAAGGCCATGGTACTCCCATCTTCTTATTGCACAGTTGGAGCTCTCAATCAACTGGTTCTCACTGAAAATGTTTTGTTGTGCAAGACAATTATAATTTGCTACGACTATCAACAGCTTATTTCACTACAGTAAGTAATTAATGTTTACTTACTCCAAGAAAGCAATGACTTCATCTCTCAGTTGTGCTTTCATGTGCTTTCGGGTCTTACTCAACATTCCATGTCCACAAAGAAATGAATCAAGGTACTCCGAGAACGTCGGGAGGCTTAGGTTGTCCCACTGCTTGCAGCGTCCTTTACTGCTTTTTTGTCGTCCAGCCTAAGAGTAAAATATATTACAATTTATACTTCTGTAGGTCTGTGCAGCTGGGCCATAAAATAATGATTTATGTACTAGTGAGGACAGACATGTGCTTCCACAAAGAAAATAAAAATAAAAGTCTGTGCCCAGAAACACCTTCTTGAAGTAATGCAGGTAAGTTATACAGTGCAACCCGCTTACAGCGATACCGCATATAACATTGTACCGCTTATAATAATCAGTTTCTAGAATTTCTAGACTGGAAATGATCAGTTTCTAGTCCAGATACAACGATAATCGGTTATCACGATTTAAATTTCGGCTTTTCTCATCGTTATAAGTGGGTTACACTGCATCACGGTTTCCCCCAAGAAATGTTTGAGAGGTGGTCACTCTAGAGTGACTCTAGCTCACTCCGAGGCCCCATGGCGTTGTGCCATTGTGAAAGAGCGAAGGAAGAGCGAAATGCACAAGGAGAGCTATGCGTGGAGTCTGAAGTCGGAGCAGCGAAGGAAGCGCAAGCGGTAGGAAAGAGAGCGAGAGAGAGGATGGGCGAGGCAGCTCATTCAAGATTTGGCTGCTAAAAATAAAAACAATGCTTTCTTTGTATATAGGTCCATTTTACTCCGATACACAAATATCTCAGCTCAAAGATCAATTACAACTAGCAGAGCTTTTCAACAGGCATCAAACCACCGTATCACTCTTTAGGGTAGCTGTGTGTAAAATCGGGTCAAGCAGTGCAGGTCACTCTCATATGGGTAGACATACAAGGGCCAAGGAAGCAAAAAAGCATCTTTTGTAACAACTGTCTCATGACTTGTTCCCCGCAAAATAAAGCAGTTCAGTTCCGGGTCATAGCGCCGCAACACCATAACATTGCAGAGGAAGAAAGTCTTGTCCAAATAGGAAACAATAGTGGTGATCCTTAGAAACCCAGTGCCACCAGAAACAGCTCGAGTCATCATCACATCATTCAATGTGACCACCACATTGTCAGACACTACAGATTCCAACGAGGAACCGATGGAACCAATTGCAGAAGGTGGCAAACCTGCTTGCACAAATGCATCAGTCAAGGAGTAGGGTACACCACTAGTGCAGTCACTGCCAGCGTCGAGAAAACCATGTTTAGCATCACCGTTACCATGCCACATGGAATAAGACAAACTTATTTGAAAAAGCTCACTCACTGAGAATGGGACATTCTTAAAGTTGAAAAGTTTCTTTGACTTGGGGAGTGCATTTTTGCCCTCACATCGCACGGTCCAGTGATGGTGCCCAGGCCCATGCTGCTTTATTTGCTCGACGATGTGCAGCAGCATATGCAACTTTGCCACAAAGGCTCTTTCCCCGTAGCAACTCAAATAGAGCTTCTGGTGCTCAATGATAGTTGCCTCAAGGTCACCCAATGCCTCAACACTGAGTACTGGCGAAAGTATCAGCTGAGTGATATTAAAAATCATGATCAAGCATTTGAATGTCGACCCTAACTGCTTGACAGACACAATGGAGTCTAACATCAATGGCAGGTGCAGCATTAAAACTGCAGTCGCACTTGCAGATGACACCAAATTCAGTGTAGCATCAAATAAACGTGGATAATCGCTGGAACTGACTAATGAGTTGAACTGAAAGTTGCTCAAACAATCGTTCAGCTGCCTTCTACTGAAATTGCGAAGGTCATGGATTTGGTGATGCAAAAACAAAGAAATTTCTTTTGGAACAACACCTTCCAGCAGGACATGCATAGGGTCGAAGAGCAGGTCCTCAGTCAATGAAAAGCGTGTGATGCGAGCCAAAACAGAGGGCCCCTTGATACCACAAGAAGCTGAGATCTCCTTGCGGTCAGATACATTTTCTGTCGTCAACAAATTCTGGACGTGTCTTTCGATCTCAGTGTCAGTTCTCAGGGGACATTCAGCATGTAAGAAAATGTGAGGAAAATTGCATGTGAGAGCATTGCAGCGGCGACATGCATGGCGAACATTTGGTGAGAAAGACTCCTTAAAGCCAGCAATGTTGTGACATGCAAGACTATCACCCAGAAATGCGAGCAAGCATCCATATACCCTGATTTCCCCTTGCTCTACTTGAACCACTACTCCTTCAGATGACAGCTCATTCATGGTTGAAATGAAATCCTGAAGTAGTTCTGTTTTTGCTTCTACGGCTTTTAGATCATTTGAATGCGCCACTGCAAGAAGAAAGATTGAATTGAGTTTCGACCGCTTTGAAACAGGAATGTTGGCAAACATGATGTAAAAAAGTGTTAGTTTTCCACATCTGCCCCTTTTCATTCCCAAAGGATTAGCCACTTCCACGTCGTCACAATACAGTAGTACACCTAGAGCATTCTCCTTTTCCTTCAATACTGTATGGCTTCTAAATCTTATGCCATCACTAAAATCTCTTAGAAAACCGTCATCCGAGTAAGAGAAAGGTTGCAGAAGATAGCTTGCTATCTCAGGGTGCCTAAGAAGGTTTTGCAGCAGTGGCCTCAGCTGTATGTAGTATGCCTTAGATCCATTTGGAAGGATTTTCTGGCAGGGTCTGACATATATACCACTCTGCTCATAGAGGCGTTTTCTGTCCCTGTCAGTGCTCAGTTGTGAAGTATCTAGATCAAGACCTCTTGCACTAAACATTTCAAACACTCCCTCCACAACAGCATTAACAACATTTTTTGCACTCCTGTGCTTCCCTTCTAGCATTCTGCACAAGTCGGAAAGTCTTGCTTTATCGGTCATTACAGACGATCTGGATAGCTGAGTGCTGTAATCTCCACCGTCTGCTTCACAGTTCTCATTTGTAGGAGCATGAGGCTCAAGGACACTCGAGACAGGTTTGTGACACTTATTATAGTGCTCTTTGTAACGGTACAGAGCTGTAAAAGTTGCCTTACAGGTTGTACATCTGTACCGTTTAACCCCAGGGTGAACCTCCCTCATGTGCTCCACAAAATGGTTGAAATAAGTCGTAACAAAGTCACAGCACTTGCACACATGTGGTACCTGTAGCCTGGCTTGATCTGATGAGTGGGCTGAAGCGGGTAAAGGTGGAACTGGAATATCTGGTGTCTCCTGGCACATCGTTGCACAAGATATTGTGGCATCTTCTACCATTTGCTCCAAGGGAGGAACTGCTACGACTTGTACAGGCTCAGTCGGTATTTCACATACTGAACCAAACAAGGGTGCGACTGATGCAGATTCGTGCACTGTTGTGGTCCTTTCCAACTGGTGTGTCCAGTGCTCTGCAAGGAATACATAAACAGACAGGTGATGCTTGACCTTTTGAAACACTTCATTGCTAAACAAGAGCAAACAAAACATAAAGAGGATCAAAGCTAAGACGAAGAATGTTATAAAGTTCTTAAGGTAGTTGTCTCAGAGTAGTGCCCACACTTTCACCAAGGCTTGGCTTTTTGGGACCCTCAAGCCAAGTCTTTTGGCCTAATGTCAGCTGCTGCTCTGAGGCTTACCGAACTCTCTTTTTAACATTAATGTTTAGGCATGTAAAGTTGAAGGAAGCAATATAGAAAAAATAGAGAATAATTGCTGCACTACTCCATTCTGCCTCAATTTAAAATGTTTACTTGAGTGTGCACATACAACATGGCATCATGTTTATCTGCATTGTATACGTTTTAAAGCCAGCAACTGTGTCCAGTGCTTCCCACACTGTTCATACATTGTTACAAAATGTATGCGAATTAGCTTTCGTTTTTTTTGTCATTCCGTTCCTAGGATGTTTGTCCAACGTCTGCGTCGGGATGTGAGGCATCCTCAAACTACACATCAAACAGCTGTCCCACAGATGGCTGAGGAGCAATAACGCCAAAAACGTTAAGAAATGATGTATATGTGATGAGCTTAGACACTTGAGTGTTTTGGAAAGCAAATTTAGAAGGGCAACCGTGATCCTAAGAGAACCTGCAGTTGGTCAAGTTGGTACGTCATTAGATTAAAAAGTGCTAGACAACAAAGAAAAATGCAAGAATTGGACAGGACGATGCGCTACTTTCAACTGAATTTTTATTCAGAAAAACGAACAGGTAGACACTTTCAAGCAAACCTTTCGCTCATAAACAAACTTCTCGCGAGATAAATTATCGTGAGAAGGAAATGGATACAAGGAAATGAAATTTATCTTGCAAAAAGTTTGGTTATGAAAGAAAGGTTTGCCTGGGAGTGTATACATGTTCATTTTCCGGAATAAAAATCAGCTGAAAGCAGCGCATCGTCCTCTCCAACTCTTGCCTTTGACTGCGTTGTCTGGCGCTTTTTCATCTAACAACCGTGATCATCCTGCTTCCTAACACAAAGCACAAATAAAGTAGAAATAAAGCACTGCTGGATGACAAATGAATACTAACCTGTGAGGACCCCATGTGACACAGGGGAATGCCCACACAAAATGCACCACCCAAGAGGCACCCTTTCATGACTGATGAGCTCCACAGTCCGCGTGAAGCCGCTGCACTCGCAATCTTTGCAGCGACCTCTCAGTACGCCCGAGATATCCTCGGAGACGGTTGAACATGCCATGGTGACTTGCAGAGATGCGACACCTGTAAGGAACGTTTGGTCATCTACCTGTTGAATGATGAGGCACAGCGACTAATTGCAGTGATTGACAGTAACCGTTTGTGCCATGCTTTCGTTAGCAAGCGTGATTTCACTCTCATGGCTCCCCTGTATATAGTTCCTTCAGTGACAACCTTTAGTGATGTCATTTAGTCACATCCCGAAACTCTTGACTTATTTCCCTTAAGTTGTTTTGACTTAATCATTTCATTTTGCGACCAGACTTCAATGAGACCACGGAAGCTTATATTGCCTGAAAGAACTATAGAGCTCCCCGTTACGTGACTAAAGGTTGGTGGCCTTCGTTAGCTGCCTCCAGGTGCGAGCACAAGTTTTCACAAAAGGCTCAGATGCCAAAAAGGACTTGCAAAAAACCATATGTCGTCCTCCTTAAACCTGGTTGGCTGGACGAACTAAAGGTGCTGCAGTAATGAAGGTGAAACATTTCTCTACACTTATTGTGATTTCTTCCTCATACATACCGATATTTGAAATTTTTTAAGATATTGGTTGATAATTTTATCTCATATTTAGATAAAATGCAAATGCCCTGTCAAGATATACTCCCCAATCTCTGTCAAATAAATTTTCCGGGTACGACCCCTGGCTCCATCAATACAGTGGGAACGCGCAATCTCGCTATTAAAGGTAGACACGCGGACAGTTACCGAGGCCTTCACCGTCCGACGTTCAGATTGCTCCGAAAAACCACGTACTACTCCACCGTTCGTGTTCACTGTTTTAAGTACGGGCTCAAACCGATGTGGCGTCATTACGCGAGAATTAAAATATGCACAAAGATGAGTATGTACAAAGAAAAGCTTAACAAGTCAAAACACTGGCGAGGCGTCGCACATGAGCACGAAGACGGGCATCGAAAACAAAAAATCGGCAGAGAGCATGATATACAAAGAAAAAAAATAGAACTAAGTGGCGAGCACGCCGCACACTACAAACAAAAATGCACGTACGGCCGCCCCTGGTGTGGGATCGAACTTGAACGAATTTGAACCACGTGCACACTCCGCAGCCAAATTTGAACCACGTGCACACTCCGCGGCGAAGGCCATAAACGCGAGGCTCTTGGAGTGCATGAACTCTCGCAATGGTTAACTCTGCGCCAGAAGCTCCGGCTCCGCTTCCAGTACACGCGCTAGATAGCCACCGCTCATGCTTTGCCTCCGCATACTCACCCCAAATTCACGAGGTACCGAAGTGACCAAAGACAGAAAGCTTGGTCTGGAGCCAGAGCTTCTTGCGCATTATAAATACAGAAAAGCTTGGTAACCGCTCACCTTGTAATTCATCGAAGTGAAGAACGCCACTCTTGATTTGGAAGCCGCTCCTCGGGCTTCCCCACGCTGACGTTTCTTTGTTTCAGGCAAACCGTAAACCGTGGTGAAAGACCGATTGGACCGATTTTCACGCACGCGCGCTGCTGTTACAGGCCTGGCTGCTAGTCGTCGAAGCGCGGAAGGCAGGGGGCGCTACATGTGAGCTAAGCAAAATCCGGAACGATAGGCAGCCTTTCGGGAGCAAGTCACACACTGTGAAAATAGCGGCGAATAAAATCAAACCACCATGGTTTCTGGCACTCGGGTAGAGCGTACGCACAAGGAAGTCAACTTTGTTAAGCAACACAGCAAAACCCATGAAGATAATAGAAACGGGAGACGCCAGCAGCGCCATGACGGGTCGCTAGCGTTCATCCAAAGATTGGTTTCGGTTTCGGCTTCCAGCCACGTTTGGCGACTGCACAAATTCCTCGATCAGGTTACGGTGGCTAGAAGGGCCACCGTAACCAGGTCGACGCCTCCGCCTTTTCGCCTTCATTGTAGGTCGAAAATAAAAACAGCGAAAAATGTCCTAACCGGAAAAGGGTGACAAGTAACGTCCGGACGCTCGCTGATTGGCTCGAGCGCGCGCGTCGTGGGAAAAATTGGGTTCCGAGGCGTCGTCTCCCTGCGTCGTCCTCCACGGCGCGCGACTTTTTTCAATACAAAAATAAGCAAAAAATTTACCCCACGACGCGCGTCTTTCCGCTGTCTGAATGCGCCAGGCGTCGGAGTTCGTACTGCGTGAAACTTAGTGATCCGCCGTTTGACACTTCGCGACTTCACAATACATCGGACACATATCTCTTATTAGAGTACCATGATGTTGAGGGACAAATGCGGATTTCTACCAGAATACTCTTGGTCGTGCCTTCAACGAAATCGCTTGTTTCTTTTGAGCAGCCTGCGTTCGTTAGCGCAAATCAGTCAAACGGTAAAAGTGACAATCAGACTCGATGTTCCGGAGCGCAATCCCATTCAGACAATAGAAAAAAAAAAACGATTTTTGCTTTTCAGTTTGAGATCATTCTTTTTAGCTGGGTAATTGTTAAAGTTTTTATAACATAACCTGGCGACACAGCACTTACAACATGAGTAGTTGGTTTTGAGCAGTTTTGTGGGGGCCTCACCAGGCTATCACTATTAGGTGTGTCGCGAACTTTTGTCGAACCAGATTTTTAGGTCGAACTTCCGGGGTTCGACTGAATCGACCGGTTTGACGAACTTTCGAACTTTTCACCAGATACGACCGGTTCGACTTTCTGGACAGTGTGGCCAGGCCTTGATACAAGCATTTCTAGGTTGGAAAAAAAATATGCAAAATGTTTCTTTTTTTAATTTTATAACCTGTTGCAATTAAAAGGAACCAATTCTAATCACCGAAGAAGTTAGTAACTTAATTTTTTTACTGTATAAACTGAAATAACAAATCAGCGCTGTCCTTAATTCATTCCTTAGCCACCACCATCCAGTCCGAAGCCAACTGCCCAGACTGTGGCGCATGCGCACATGAGTCAAACCTCAATACAAGGTTCGTCGAATTTTCCACTAAAAGTTCGCAAAAGTCGAACCTGGTCGAGCTCGAACCTCGGTCGGTTCGCGGCACCCCCAATCACTATAGCAATTGTCAGAACTATTTCATAAAGCTCCACCCGTCGACGGCCTTACCGACCACACACGCGCACACACACACACACACACACAGACACACACACACATATATATATATATATATATATATATATATGTATATATATGCAATGGTCAGGAGCAAAGAAACGTGAAGGAAGCAGAACGGACTCAGATGACAAGAGATATGTAACAAGAACTGAGCACAGCAGGGCGTGTATTTATTTTATAATCAGTTTGGACTTGCTATAACACTTTGAAGCGAAAGTTTAATTAAAAAAGATCTCAACAATCAAGCAACGACCATCACCGTATGTGCTTCTAAGAGGAAAAAATAAACAAATATGTTTTGCAAACTTATCAAAGGACGGCGAGGACCGGCGCGCCTCTCATTCGATTAGAAATTTGTTCAACCTGTTCCGGTAATTTGACACGATTGTAAGTGCACTTAACCTTTTGTCACATAACATCCAGAGCTTAGTATTAATAACCTGCATCCACTAAATAGTCAGATATCTCGGTACAATATCTTGAGTCAGCATCAACGTAATAATACTGATACACTTCCTTTCGACACATTTCACTGCAATGCACAAGAATTCTAAGCGGAACATGAACAAGACAAAATATAGACTGCAATGGTTTTCAGTGGAACAGGTTGGCGCGAAAAACGAACATGGTAAGCGGAACAACTGGCTGATCCGCATAAGACCAGCGTGTTCCACGTAAAAAAAAACAGAAATAAGGCAAAAAAAACTGGCGTTCCGCATATTTTTCTCGACCCAGATAAAATTTTGACTCGTTCCAGAAAGAATATGTGGAACGTTTTTTTATGCGGAACCTATGTGGAACTATTTTAAGAGTGTACAAATGTATAAAATATGCACTCATTGACAAATCCCGAGTCAAGAAATGCGTACAAATTATTGGTAAATCAAAGCTGTTTTTCACCGGAGAGCAATTCCTGTAAGCCATGCCGTGAGTTGTGAAAATGTTGATACAATTCCAAACAGCTGGGATGAATGAAGATAACATGACTTAATATTTTGGAATGTACTGGCGTAAGAGAAACAGGACAATAGTTATGTGGGATATGTGCGTTGCCAAGCCTGTAAGGAAAATTTGCCTCGCCTGTTTTTCACTCCTTGGGTAAACAAGGCACTAAATTATTTATTGAGAATTTAATAAAATATGATAGAACTATATTCACTAGTATCCCTACCGAAAAAAAAAAAAACAGCATAACTTTCACTATCTGGATTATGGAACTGGAATTCTACCTGGATTTTATCTGCATTCACGGATTTTAGAAATTATGCCTTTGTCTGCAATCTGAATTTCAGGTTTCCAGAAACAATTCCAATTAGGTTTACGGTTCCATAATCCAGATAGTGAAGAGGTATATTGGATTTTTCGGTAGGTATTCTGCACAAATTTGAAAGTACTACGATCTACACCAGATGAAGACGATCCCTTTAGTTTTTTTATAATTATTTTAGTGACAGCTGGGTCAAAAAACATTGAGTCGACAGGTTTGTGAGAACTATTGAATGGAATACCCTACCCCAAAAACCAATTTACCTTTTCGCTATCCGGATTATAAAACAAGAAATCTTATTGGATCCTATTTGGATTTCGCGTTTTCATACTGGATTTCAGTTTCCAATACATTTCCAGTTAGATTTCTTATTCCATAATCCAAATAGCGAAAAGTTATTTTGGGTATTACGGTAGGGTACTTAATATTTACAAGATCAAAAGGTGACATAAATTAAGAGTGCAACTTAAGCCGCTCTTTAGTGATACGGCGTTCCAAAATGTATTCTGAAATCAGTCGCACAGGAAGCACAGGAGCGAGCGCGTGGCTTCAGCTAGTCCGTTCAATGAGCTGAATCTAGTTCCAACAAAACGTTGCGCCGAGCTACACTCTCACTCCTGTTCCTTTGATAATAATGCCTAGAACTTAAAAGAATTTTATTTAGTCGGCAACTTATTGTC